CTCAATTAATTCATTTCTGCTTAAAAAAAATGTATCATGCTTTACTTACTTCATCACAAAGTTCATGCCTTTCATATATATATATATAAATTTTTGGTATTTCATTAAGATATATCAAGTTACATATAAATATATTTAAGACAATACGTTACAAGTATTCTGGTTTTAAGTAACTTCTATATTTCTTGATGGAATATCTGTAAATATGATATACAAAATGAATTTTCATTTAGTTCTTTGAATTGTTTAATGGTTCAAGAAGAAAGTACCCGAGGTTTTGTGACAAATCAAAATTTCTTTGATATAAACTGCATAGACACAGGATGAATGCACAAAGTTAACTGAATGAACTCTTATGAACAAACGTTCAGTCACCTGTCACAACGTACCAGGTAGATGCTATTCCAGGGTATAACAATTCTAGTTACAAAAATAACTTTACCTAGAAATATGCCCAAGTCTAATCTGCAAAGCTTAGTTAATACTGTCTCCATCACTTCAAAACACGCAAATGTACTAATTGTTTTTACATAATTTTGTCTCTATACATAGTTTTCTCCCTAATCTATGCTTAAATGCAAAATATGTTGTTTCATATACAGATATATTTTAATGACTAGAGTTGCTTACTAAAGCTAACCTTTTTGAATATTTGGCTTTTTCTTTTAGATTCAATTGGAATTATCATCAAAAGAATGGAGGAAAGACCTAGAAGTTACATCAGTTTAATTCTGTTGTTGCCAATATGTATAGACCTGAAAAGCAACTAGGAATTTGGGAAGTAATAAATTATACTCAAAAGCATGCTTTTACACTTTTTGTTTCACCAACTTACTGTAATTTTTCACAGTTTTTTCTTCTTCAGATGAAGCAACTTTTGTTGATTCTGTGTATTTTGACTTTCAGAAAGCCTTGAATTAGGATCCACAAGAAATTTGAATGTTATAGAATTTGTCTAAAACTTAAGACACAACCTTGACTTGGTGGTAGATAGATAGCCATGATGGGTATCTTCCCCATTAGAAGTATGTGAACAGTCAGATCCTTCAGGTGAAAGAACCAGAAGGTGAGAAATGAGTTTAAACACTGAGGAGTGCAAGTAATGTACATCAGGTATTGGAATTTGCTTGACTTCTTGTGAATGAGGTAACTTGTGTTTCATAAAACAATATAACTTGCAAAGCTCTCTGCAGATTGTAGGAAGAGATGAAAGTTCTAGGATCTGTCTATAAGAAATATGAACTTAAAGAGGTTAAAGTTACATTACAAAATACCTGCTCATTTAGTAAATTTTGTACAATTTTTGGGTCAATACTACAGGAAAGATGTCATTATGCTAAAATAAGTGCAAAGACAGGTTGCTAAAAGGATTCTTGGTTTAATTAGTTTTTAGTTACAGTTTTAAAAATTAGGATTTGTTTTCTTTGGCAAAAAGAATTAAAAGTGAATTGACTGGCATTTCTAAGTTGGATTATCTGCCTAAGGAAGTTCTGTTTTAGTGGTGGAATGAAAGAGGCTGAAAATGCAAGCTTGAATATTACATATATAAATACATAATTCAAGGACAAGGGACCTATTGATCCATAATGCCATTACATACACTAAACTTAAAAATAAAAATTCAAAGCCAGTCCTATCATTCATATACTTATCAAGCCTTCCATTAAACTCCCTTAAGTTAACTGCATCTACCATATTTGAAGGAAACTCATTCAAAAGACCAACCACCCTGTATGAAATATAAAGCGGTCTCAGATGAAAATGACACATACTCTGCCAAATGTATATTTGTGTCCTCTAGTCCTACCATTCTCACCATCAAATACAAAAAAAGATAACTCAAACACTATCAAGTCCCTTAACAATCTTGAACACTTCTATCAGAGCCCCCCTAACTCTTCTTTTTTTCAAGAGAAAACAATTTCACAGATCTTAACCTGTCCTTGTATAACAACCTTTCCATCCCAGGCATCATCCTAGTAGCCTTCCTCTGAACCCTGTCCAACAATTCAATGTCCTTCCTAAGGTAAGGCACCCATGACTGAACACAATACCCTAAATGTGGCCTAACTAATAATCTCTTTAGATTTGTATTCAGTATTTCCACTTTTAAATCAAATGCAAAACAAAAAGTTATGGAAGCAAAACTTTTCAAGCTTTGGCAAAAAATGTGGTGGGTAGGTGTGTTTTGATGGATGTTCCTTAAAAAATGGAAAGGTATTTACTATAATTTATTACATTAATTTTTATAAAGTGATTGAAATATGTCCAATCAAGAAAAGCTTTACTAATAAATCTGGTCAATTATTATGGAAAACTTCAATTTATGGTATGGTTTGTTTGAAAATTGAATAAGTGGTGTTAATCTGAAATATTTTAATTTTTTCTTTCATAGATCGATATAAATATATGAAGGTCTATTTTAGTTTACCTTTGTTGCTTGTTTTCTTTGTTCTGATAAGCACGATGGCTGAATAGCCTTTGTTCTCCTCAAACTTACATTAGGTTATTTAAGATTTAAGAGGGGGGGAATTTAGTTCTCGCATTCAAACTAATTAAAATTGGATGATCTTTTTGTTGGACATGCATCTGACTTCTAAGAGGACAGAATTGGTAATTCTAACTTAGAGGTTCAGAGTTATAGTTACTTTTAAATCTTGGTATACTTCTTTTCAGACAAAAAATTTTTTATCCTTCTTATCAGTGATGATCAATTTGTGGTAAAGTTTATCAAAAAAATTATAATGGATTTTAAAGTTAGTTTGAATTTGTTTGTTTTTTCACTTTTTTTTTTAATTTATGGACATAATTACATTTTCAATACTTTTTCATTTAATTAAGTTTATAATTGGCAACAATAGGCCAACTGGCTTTTTATTATTCAATTTATTCAGTAATTACCCAATCCATCTGCACCTTGAAATCAACAGCCTTGGCTAAATATTCCTTCCCATAAATTGTGTATTGTAGAACTAGAAGGGCGAATTACTTATTTTACCTTATTTATAACAATTTAACATTAATTACACGTTACGAGTTATATTATTTACTAAAACAAACATTATCTGGACTAAAGTCTAGTTTGGACTGCACGTGACTATACTATAGTATATGATCTATATAAATTATAATGAACTTTGAAACTTTAACTTTAAGTTAAACTTAAAGTTTAAGTCAAATTTGTGCATCTTAATTCTTTAATTTTTTATCATAAGTATGAGCGAAGACGCACTTTTTTTCAATACTCATAACTGTCTTAATCATCTTATAAAATAATTAACGTTGATTACTTTACAGTGTTACTAATTTAACAAAATTGAAATACAAATTAAATATTAACATGCCTTGCCCTTGTCGTCCAAAGTAACAGCTTCAACACTGACTGCAGCCATCTTGAAAGCCTCCAATTATATATTTGGGACACCGGCTTGTGTTAGCTCAAGTTAAGAACCATTGCTTTTATTTCTAGGTGTCTTGCACGATTGGTGCAAAGAATCAAACGGTGAAGCAGTAATTTAAAACTTGCAAAATATAGGCATAATATACAAATATACACACTATTATTCACCATAATTTATCTAAATGCAACTTGTGCTATTTTTTGTGTATAACTCATACGCTATTATTTGTAATAGTAATGTCATTGTAAACATACATTTCATTAAAAAAGGTTAAATTATGTTGCAAACCATTGTTTCTTTTTGGAAACTTATAACCGTCAAATAAATTTTACATTTTTAAATTAATTATAAAGGGCGACTAATCTGTGTTGGAATATCAAGAAGTGTCAAATGTATTTGTATTTTCTATTTATGGCAAAGCAACTAAGATTATTTGTCACCATCCTTAATTATAAACTATATCCTGACCAAAGGGGAAGTGTGTCAGGCAGCAGCACCTAACACCCATCGTCCATGCTAAGAGATCGATTGTCACAGTTCTAGCGTACCCACAGCTTAAGGTGTGGGGGATATTTTATGATGTCGTTCATTACAAGATAAACCGTTCCCCCCACCCCTTCCACACACCTATATGGTGGTTTGAGATGTCTTTTACTCGTGCAGTAAATTCTATATTTATAATTCAGAGAGAAGTGGTAAATCGAATGATAGATTTGGCTTTATATTATTTCATTTTTTTAAGAATCCCATCTTCGTGGCTTCCTTTTCTATCATATCCCTCCATTCCATATGAAGTAGTATAATATATAATTAAAGTAGTTGTAATTGTTAATAAAAGAGAACTTTGAAATAGTTGGAAAGATACTAATCATAATATATAAAGATATTGTACACACTATCGGTTGAAAAAACTGCTCTTATTATAGACATAATATATTTTTTAATTATAAAGTTAAAAATTTAATTCTGAATGTCACGAATAAAATGCGCTGACTTTTACTTCTCTCTTTCTCTCGATGCGCACTCGTACGTAAAAACTGCACAGTTTAATAGCCGTTTAAGCAAAGCAGTATTCTTGATTACACAATTTATTGTGTACCTTGTTCCAA